ACAGTACAGACACTAGAAGCCAGTTGGCCTGCACGAGGAGATGGAGCCTGCTGTGGATGAAGCTGCCATCCAGGAAATCAACCGGAGCAAAGTACCTCATGCAGTATTTGCTTTGGCCACTATCCTGCCAGATGTAGGGTATCGGGGAGTGTCGAAATTTGTATTTTTTTAATCATCAACAGTATGAGGAAACAAGCCAGAAGCTGAGGACGGCTTCACTCCTGAGGGGAGGCAGTGCAACGACTTAGTAGGACGCAGACATATTGGACCACACTGGCCTCAGCTAATCCTCTGTCTCTCTGCGTTTCAGTGGTATGCGAGAAATATAGACAGCCAACCAGAGACAGACACGTTTGAGAAGTGGCGTAAAATGAGCAGTGTAGCCAGCGTGGTGGACACGTGTGGACGGCACCTGACATGTTGTTTTGTCTTGTGGTTGGTCAATAAATCCTGTTATGTTGCAATAGTCTCCTCATACTAGGGCTTCTGTATTCTACATCCTTATGATGCAAAACCTAGGACGCAGACATATTGGATCTATGCGCCTGAATGGTCTACCTTCGAGACCAGTAGCCAACCATAGGCTAGGGTGGGAGAAGAACTATATACAAGATGGAGCATCCAGATTTATAGAGAAGAATAAACCTCGCCTGGTAGACTTTTTTTACATTCGGTTTATCTAGTGATAAGGTGTCCTAGGTTATTGGTAGCGGATGCGATTGCATGATGTGCTCTAAATTGCAGCTTTTAAACTTTTCTACAATGGAAAACAGAGGCAAACGCTTGTGAGAAATTCACACTAAGCTACTTGTCTCGTGTATATCAATGAATGCAGGCTGTACTTTGTCAGAGCAGTGCATTAGGTTTTCCAGACCATTTAATCCACTCACGTTGCCTCGGATTAAGATGGCTGCATCTGAAGAGTCATCGATAAATTAGAGAAGACGACACGGATTTTAAAAGATAGCTAGACTGCAAGTGAGAAAAGTGCCTATCACGGATGAGGCCACCTTCCTGGATGTTTACAAGATCAACGGTCCGTTGTCTATAAGGCACTTTGCTCACCAGACTCAGACTGAAACATTTGTCGTTAAAACTAAGGCAGTAACTAAAACAAATTCGCTGTTTACCGGAAGAGGGATTGTCTAGCCATACAAGAGCGCGGATATACTGGTTCAGGCTGACCACAGCCAGTCCTCTGTCTTTAAGCGTCAGAATGACCAACGGCCACCTAATGACAAGGACGTGTGAGAAACCTTATGTAATGGGTTGCGCAAGAAATATCATGGAATCAGGTGGATGGTGCTTGGAGAATTGTTGTGGCTCTTAATATGCCAATTAATCCTGCTCTGATGCACCTGTTTTTTTAATGTTATGTTTAGAGAATTTTAAATCGCTGTAAAACAGGTAACAAAAGCTGTCGAATTTGAACTTGAATGAGTTCAGCTAAATTTTTTCCTTTTTTTGAATGCCTAACAATGGTGATTAAGAGCCGAGAGGAGAAAACATGACTAAGCAGCACAATACGGAGGTGATATGTCCATTGTGACTATCTCGATTTGAGTACTGCGAACGGATGGTTCTGATCAGTAGTTTTTGATTAAAATCGGACCAATAGTGTCACTTTTCTTCTTTTAAGTGGTTGAGTAGTTTACATTGTCTGCTGTTCGACCGTTAAATTGTCCCTGGTTTGTAATTCTTCAGCTTCATTGGCTAATCAAAACAGTCAAATATAATAGAGAATATTTCCCATAAAACTTTTTAGCTACTTATAATCCAAGTATAGCTCACGAGTAGTCACATTCCCTATCAGATTTGGTTTCGTTCGTTATTTAGTTATTTGTATGTTTGGACTTTTTGGCACACCACATCAAGTGAACTGTATTTTGGATCCAATTTGTAAGCCAGATTATGTCAGCCCATACAGACCTTAAAAACTTACTAACTTAACTAAAATTTTGCAACCGATTGAAAATAAGTATGGTTCATGTTTCATTATTTACCACTCAACTAACGGTTGCATTGGAATAGTTAAGCCTCTGTGTGTTGCTGATGTGAGCCATCTTTGAACTGTTCCGTCTAAACTGGTTAATTTTCGTAGCACCATCTTTTATAATACCGGTGTTTTGTAACCCAAATTTTCTCCGAGTTAAAATTTGACCTTCGGGATTGACAAGTAAGACCCCGAAATTAAAGAGCATTCCTTTGGTTCTTAGTCTGACATCTGTTTGTTAAACAGAACTGCGATTCATACAGGTAAGGAAATGCTACATGAATGACCATGGTCTGTTTTGGCTTAGTTAAAATGAATTCAAATGACAAAATTCTTGTTCGACGTCTTGAGGTGCCTAACAACTGGCACACAATTGATTGCAAACATCGTCCTTATTAATTTGCTCAATGCCAGTATTTAGTTAGTCGAAATTTAAAAAAAACTGGTGAATGGAAACACGGCATTTATATAACACGAACGTGGGTAATTTATCACCTCGTAATTTGAGTGACTATGAACCTTATAATCTAGTGAAATAACACCCCGCTTTTGTTTGCTATGCACATCCCTTTCAAAAACACAAAGCTGTGTTTTTAAACTCATGAATTGCAGTTTATTAATTTCTCACGCGCTATTGCATTGAGTTTGAGTAAACTTGCTGCTCTTAACTGCATAGGTCGATTTTTAGGTGGGTTGGTTGATTAGTGCTCGTTTACACTTGTGAGAGTCTTTTGACAAAATGGGAGAGATTTTCTGAACAAATCCATGATTTTTGTGGGGATAATGAAGAGGACTACTTAAATATGTAGGTCAGATCGACAAAACTTGTTTAGTGCCTTGTAAATTCGTGGACAATAACCGATCCGGATCACCTAATTACTGCAGGGAAAAACCATTTGACTACCACAGATGTGGTCATTGGTACTCATGTACTTAAATGTACTAATTATTTAGTGCAATAATACTGGTAAATGTCTACTTTTTCTCTTTTAAAATTAAAGCTCACGTTTTTTTACAGTTTTGCGAGAGATATGGCATTTGCTAGAGGTTTTTCTATAAAGAATATGGAAAATACCCTTTTCTCAAAATGAAAAGATCAGTTTAGGAGAACAGTCAACAGAAAAGGCATCGAGGCAGTGAGATTTGAGCAGAAGCTGCTTCTAGTTAGATTTGCTAAACGTGGTAAAAGAGTCAGCATTAGCCTGACAGTTTACGAACATTTTGGGGTGAGGCCATGCTCAGGCACCTCAAAAGTGATCCTGCGAAAAGGCTATTTTGACGAACTTACACAAAAACATGAAACTACGCTATTGTGCATGGTTGTCCGTCCAGTTTTTAATTGGAATTTATTAAAATTTATATTAAACAACAGTCTATAAACCTAGATTAACTTAATTTGTCGTTGTTTCAACTCTTAAATCAATGCACTCTAATTGTGCGCATCGTCAATGTTCGGTTTTCAATTCACACAATTCCCTAAAAATATCTCGGTTTCCAACGCAGTTAAAAACGCTTTTGTATTCCTACGGAATGATTTATCGCTATCTTATCATCTACTAATTTCTGGAGTTGAAATACTATGGTTATGTCTGCACGCTTGGTTAGAAGGTGCAACCTCTATTCTAAGTGACTTGGTAGCTACCTACGAGTTTAAAAACTTATTTCTTTCTGGAGCATGAATATGGGAGATTTGAGATTACCATGGGAGCATGGTTAATTGTGCAATGTTTGAATTTGGTGTAAAATGCGTCTCCATTTTTACACAGTGGTGTGGCAAGTTACCAAGGGTGCAAACGGCCATTTTAACAGCAACTATGAAAACTTGAGAGGTTTTTTATGTTTTTGTTTTTCAAAATAGTCAAATAGGCTTTTTACTCCAACTTTTTAGTCAAATTGGCTTTTACTCAAATAGTAAATTTTAGACAATCTTGGTGTAATACTTGTTGTTTTTGACGACCCAGAAAAATTCAAATTTCCGCACGCATAACCAGCCGCGTCTTGTGGGGTTGATGCATTTGGTTCAGTTACAAATTTGTCTTCGGCTAATGAACTTACATGCCCGTTTTGACAACCCGGTATCTAAGGTTTTTTACATGTCACTACTTTCGGTGTTGCATGCATTAAAAGATGTACTGCCCTCCTGAAGAGATCGTGCATTTCTCAAAAATTCGCACGTGCTAGCGCCAATACCTGGTGTGTCGCCTTGATATGACCTTGAAATGCACCAATAATTTATCTCAGTCACAATAACCACTTCATGAAGACCGTAAAAGTCACAAGATTCCAGCTTAAAAACTGGTCTATCAGCTTAATTTGCGTCACAACTATTCTCTGTCACTCAACCTGTCACTTGTTTCCTTACTTTAATAATTAAATTGAGGTCGATTACACGGAAAGCAATTAACACTGCTGTGCACCTTGACGTCGCTGGTAAAAACCTCTTGGCAATATGTAAATAAGTTTACAGCGACCAATCACCTATTTAATTAAAAAAAGATGTAGCGTACGAAATGAGCAGCAATAGACACGTCCAAACTCGCAGACGCTAGTTCGTCCATATGCATCTAACGTAGTGATACAGATGCCTGGCGTGTGCTTTGCATCAACATTCACTAGCGAAATTTCTTGTTGTAGATTACCAGTAACACACTCCCCCTCGATGTCTGACTGACGGATGCTACCGAGGTGATAAGCGCTTGGTTAGCTCGTGACACCGCCCTCATGCGTTTGACCAATTAGAGCGAGTGTTTGAAAAGTCAGGTGGGGTTTGCGGAGCACTGCTACTCAACAGCCTCCAAAATAATCAGTACCAGACAGCGCAGTGTCAATTGACTCATTTTTGTCAAACTTTTCACAAAAAACATCTTTTGGCAAAACCCAATGTCATCCAAACAATTATAACATTTATTCCACCCCTTTTTTCCAAGTAAGTGGGTCTCGAGGTCAGATTAAAAAACGATTGATTTTTCCAAAATTACAAGAAACATATGCCGTAGTGCTTTCGAAATCAGTTAACTTTTTCCTTGGTTTCCCGTAGCCACTTTTCGCGAACACGAAACATAATTTTGGTGACGATTGATGTGAAAAGACAAGTTGGCATCAAACGCAGCAGCTGGTACTTGAAATCGTGGTAGAAGTAGCCACAGCTGACGGTCTTCACACCGACCATGGACAGAGCGGAGTCGGCGAAGGTTAGAGCCGACGGGGCAATCAGAGACGCTGTCTTCAAGTGAGACATGTTGGAGGCAACATAGGACGGCGTGAAGATCTGAGCTCGAACACACGTATCGCGCAACTCAACAGCCAGAGCCTGTGTGAAGCTGCAAACGTAGGCCTTCGTTGCTGAATAGACTGCAGCGTATTGGTTTACGAGAAGACCAGCAAGAGAACCGATGTTGATGACGTAGCGATGAACACTGTGAGTGGGCAGAGGGTCGCTGACCATCTTTGGAAGTGCCAGACGCGTGATCTTGGTGAGGGTTGTGACGTTGACTGTGATCATGTCTTGGCAGAAGTCAAGAGTCAGAAAATCGCTGTTGCAGAAGTCGTCTGGATACTTGTAGTACATGCCAACGTTGTTGATAAGACAGGAAATCGATGACAGACCGGTGAGTTCTCTTTGCAACTCGTCATAGAAGTCATCCTACAAGTCATCATAAAGTCAAGCATTGCATGATAAACACATTAATATGTTGGGCCCAACACAGCAAACGCACCTTTGTGCAATCAGCAACAAAGATCTTCGTCCTGACGTTGTACTGCTTCTCCAGAGACTCAGCCACAGTCTGGAGTTTGGTTCTGTTGCGGCTGATGAGGAAGATGTTGAGGCCATCTTTGGCAAGAAGTTGGCAGAATGCCTTCCCGATGCCATCGGTTGCCCCGGTAACCACTGCCCAATCACCGGCCTTCTTCAAATCGCCTCTTCTACTGAAGCAGAACAGCAACACGAAGTATGTTAAAATAGGCCCCAGTAAAGTGAAGAGAACGTAACCAATGGAAGTTAATACAATGGCAGCAAAAATGCAGAAGATCATTTCGTTAATAAGACAAGTACTGATGTGGTTAACTGCAGTACACACCTTTCTTAAAATGCGTTGCTATAACTGGTTCTCATTGGTTAGTTGATGCAAATCCTTGATTGGTCATTCTGAGTCAGTTTAGTACACGCGTTTTCCAGGTGCGACTATTCTGGTTGAGAAATTAAATATCGAATCGCTAGAAAGATGCATTTTTATCATTGAACCACCCAGTCTATTCAAATTTATTGTAATTTATCATGCTGGCACTAACATTTTTTCAAACGGTCGCTTCTTTCTAGTTTAGATTTCTGATGTGACGTTGTGGTTTCATTGAAAACGAGTGACCTAATTTTCATTTATGCTCGACCATAGCCATGTCCTTGCTTGTTCGTTGGTAATTTGTAAAAAGACGCAAATTAGACGCAAATGGAAGGGAGCTGTAGTTGATTCAGCTTGGGTTTTATATCTTGTGTGCTACAGACCCACAGTTTCCGGTTCCGGGTCAAAATGTTTGAGAAGTTCGTGAGTACTTGCACGTCGTGATCTGAGAACTTGTCCTAGTTCACATTAAAAGGAATCATTCAAACTTGGTACTAGAAGCTTGTGGCCGTAGCTTTGGTCACGCAGACCGATATCTACACGGAAAGGACCTGTTCTAAACCAGATCTGCAATTAATGAATTCAGTCACCGTACCGTTGTTGAATATGGCTTTTTATTATTTGCGATGGAGGCGTGTGCTTTGAAGCTGTGCCTCACACTAAATTGCTCGTCTCCCCTCAGGTCTTCAGTTATTTTTTTCCTTTTGTCAGAGTTTCGATGTAATTAATTCAGAGGAAGTGGTGGGTGTTCTAGAATGCAGTGTTCAATGATTTTGGTGATTGTGCTTAATTCGTCAATATCCGAAAATCTGTTGACTACTTCAGTTTCTCGAGGTAGCGAGGGGACTGGGCCAGAATCTGTCTGATGAAATTTTCCTGTTCTCTTTTTGATACCAATTTGTAAATATTTTTAATCAAGAGCTGTCCGTAATGGATGAAACTTCCGGTTGGTATTCAGTCCCGGTTTATTGGTTGTAGGTAAGTTCAGAAAAGCTTCGGTGGTCTTGTGGCAGACGTTCATTCGATACATGCAAAAAACCCCATTTGTAGGAATTCAAATGGCCTACAAGTTATAGCTGCTACGCAAACCGACAGCAATGCTGACGTGATGTTTTCGTTTCTACTCACCAATAATGACGTTGCTGAAAGTAATTTTATGTGAAAAGACTCGACATTGGGCATGCAATTTTTGATAGCATCCCAAGCATTACATTTAACAGTGATTTGGTCAAAATATTAATCACTTCAAAAGCAGTAAATCATCGTAATAGCATTGAATTTGGCTGAAATAATTGATGACCATGCTGGACACTTTACGCGAAGGTAGGGTAAGCTTGCCCTCCTATTGGCTTATTTATCTGATTCGGTATTGGCTCTGATTAGCAACTTATGATTAAAGGTTTCAGTCGATAAATTTCACCGACAGTAACATTTTATCCCGGGATTTCTCCAGCCGTACACTTTAAATCAACGTATTTAACGTATGGCTGATTTATTCCAATTTATAGCTTATGGCAGAGTCTCATATGTGCCAACAACGTTGATAAATTTAATAACCTTACACAAACTGTTTGTTATTCTTTTGTCTCTATTAAAGAATAACAAACTGTTTTCACGGAACAAGCTCGACCACAACGAAAATTTGGGAGTTAACGTAAACTCAAAGAAGTTCGTTTAGATCCCGGCAGATTAACTTTCAGTAACAGGATTCATCGAAATGCACCAGCATGACTTATAAATACGTCAAAAGCAGACGTTCTTCAAATTTTTCCGAACCTTGACAAAAAATATATTCAAACGCGAAAGCAGGGAGGAATTAGCCAATCTAATGTATAAGGTCGATTTGAAATGGTGTGCTGGGATAAGGTATAGGGAAAAGAAACTAAGTTCTTGGAATGACAATATCATCGAAAATCGCGTTTTTTCCTATTGTTTATTTCGTAAATGAAATATACGTGAGTAAAGAAGTTAACATCAGACATGATCACATAGAAGCATTGGGTAAAGATGGTTAACAATATACACAAATTGTGTTTTGTCCATTCTCTACACTAAACTAGCGCCAACTGGGAACGAGTTACCTTGAAGTGGCCTTGAAATGTGAATGGTGGATGTGTATTTCATAAAGACAGTTTTTTTAACTATCTTTTCTATCTTGTTGTCACTTGGCAGGTATCTGTAAACAGCACTGCTTGCCGCCGTGGTAGAGTCGTAATAAGATATTGTCGCCCAATGCGTCTCTCTCCAAAATGTCGTAGAGCATTCACGTAAAAAATTGATGAGTAGTTCTGCGAAACACGAGAATAGAACAGAATTTCTATCAAATGTTGATTCTCCAAATGAAATGGTCAGAACAAGTTTGATTACTGGAAAACATCAGCAAATTTAACATTAAAATCAGCTAGAAAAAAGTGTAAAATTAATAAGTTTACCGTTGGCACACTCGGAATCGCTTCAGAGTCAACAGACTTGAAAGGATGCATAATTCATTAAAACAACGAAAATAGATTCAAAGAAATAAAGAGGACAGTAAAACATATCTAATGACAGTAGAATTTAAGTAGCTCGTGTAGTCACACATCATCTACCCAAATTCGTCAAGAAAAATTTTGAAGGTGTTTTTATCTTCTAAGATATTTTTTGCAATTTACGACTAGTAACTTGATGCTAATTGGCTGAATTTTGTACGCTGAATTTAAGTAATCAGCACATGGCTGGAACGAAAAAACTTATGAATTTACTTTTAAGTAATCAGCAACAAAGGATGTAAATGCACTTCGACACAATCTGGAGTTTATTTTTTTCCTGCTAATGATAAAGTTGATACTGAGGCTTCCCTTGGCGAGTATTTGGTAAATGGTCTTTCCGAAGCCATTAGTTGCTCCGGAAACCACTGCCCAATCACCGGCCTTCTTCAAATCGCATCTTTTGATGAGGCAGAACCGCAACGGGAAGTGTCATCACTTGATACAGTAAATTTAGAGCAATGTACGAGGGAAATAAAATGAAACAAAATGTGGGGTAAAGAATAACGACTAAACGGTCACAATTTTGGCTGTTTACTGATGAATTCTCCGCCGTATTGGTAGGTTGATGTTACATTGGACTGGTCACAGACGTCAACCTGCGAATTGTGGTCTTTTATTACGAAATTTAACAACTGAAATCGGAGTAAAACGCTTATCTTAACTGTACACACAAAACCATAATACATTAAAGGAATTTAACCTCGTAGTGGATGCATTTTCGACAGTTATTTTGTGTCCACTCCAGTTTTATGAACGGCGTACCGATTCATTCTACAATTAATGCAGGTAGATTTCTTCAGTGTTTTCAAATTCCAGGTCAAGCGAAATTCAATGAGCCCACTCCTTTTTGAAGTTTATTGCCACCTAATTCAAACAATTTTCTAACCCTGGTGGGGTGCAACTAACCGTTCGATGAAAGCGGCATGTACTTTTGAAAATTCCATGTTATTGTTAACTTTACCCTGTAGCTAATCACTCGGAACCCATCATGACGTAAATTCATTAACATTTACAGGTCACTGAGAGTTAATGTGATGTTTTGCATTTGTGTTGATATTATTCAAGTGCCATCCGACAACGACAAATTAAACCAGGCTGGCTGGGGATTCAATCAAAGTCGTCGAGGATAAATAAACGAAGACTTTGAGATTCGACAGTAATTGTGGACTCATTTCGGGTAAACACTATGGAATAATCTGTGAAAGCAGGCAGCTAGGAGCTGGTAATGCTACATGGTTTTCTTTACTCACCTCGAATATGGAATTTTCAACTCAATTCCTACTGCCAGATGAACCACTCATAAATCTCCGTTTAAATTTTAAAAAGCCGGAGGATATTGGACAAAGACGGTTAAAATCCGAAATTTCCGAAACCTATGTACCTAGATAGTGGCGTGCCGCGTTACACAGTTGCGGGTGATCATAAGGGAAACAGTTCATGCATTGTGCACTTCGGTTTTTGTGAGTTACAAAAGGTGGTTAAGCAACCTGATTGAGTAGGAATAAAATTTTGAAAGTGGCCCCTTTTTAGAACTGGGTATTTAATTTACAAATGCTAAAATGTGTACTTGAACCATGGACCACAAGTGAAATATGCTCAAATGCTGGTTGCGAATTGAGAGGTAGAGGTGGGCAGCGTGAACCCCTTCACTAGCAGCCAATAGGATGTGGGTCACATTGATGACACCTACTGAGATGAATCTATAGATTTCGCAGATTAAATCGATGATAACTCCTAGATGCAAGTTACCACTACCGTCTTGTCTGTTTTTTTTTAACTGCACTTGAATTTGTGCTATTGAATCAAAACAATACCCACGTGAAAACAAGCAAGAGCAAAATGGGGTATTCATGGTGTTTATTTCAATTTCAATTCACGACATCCCCATACCACTTTCCGTGATGAATGTGTGGGAATGACTAGTCGTGATAGTCAACAAGTGCATCGTAAACACCGCGTCCCCACAAATTCCACGCGTAATTGCATTTTATGACCCAAATCAAGAGAATCAGAGTAGGATACCAGTTAAGTTACACATTGGAGGCACACTCCAGCCATGTCGCCTTTATTCGCACAAACAGGCTACTTTAAATGAGGCAGGTCGAGACGAAAACTATTTACGGATTTGTGACTACTAAAACTGTGATTTGGGCTCAAACAATGAGGTGTAAAAAGAAACTTCGGAAACTGACATTGCCTACTGGCTGCAAACCAAGTCGCCGGAACCAAACGCACTACGGTATGGCCCCGGTTAAATCAGATAAGTAAATTTAAAAAAAGGTAAGAAAAGGAGTTTATTAGGTTACATCAACATGATAAATAGTAGAAGTAGTAACGCAGCACTCAGTTATCTTTCTTCAGATTTTGACGATACCACCTGTCGCGGGCACGTAACATTCGATCGGCCAAACTGGAAGAGAGGTAGTACGACGGTATCAATTGCATGTAGCGAGAAGACATCTCGTGATTAAAGTAGCCACACCCTTCCGCCTCCACTCCAAGCATGGACAGCGCCGACTTCGCGTAGGTCATTGCTGATGGCACTGAAGACGAGGGTTCCATATGAGACATCTTGGTGGCAACGTATGACGGCGTGAAGAGTTGGGTTCGAACGCACGTGTCCTTTAGTTCACCAGCAAGAGCTCTGGTAAAGCTTTGAACGTAGGCTTTGGAGGCAGAGTAAACCGCAAAATAGGGAATCGAAAGGAGACCAGAAAGAGATCCGATGTTGATGATATAACGATTAACACCAGGTGTTGGAAGAGGATCGTTGATCATCTTGGGAAGTACCAATCGCGTGATTTTGGTGAGCGTTGTGACATTGATGGTAATCAAGTCTTGGCAGAAACCGAGAGTGACCGTTTCACTACAGAAATCGTCTGGGTGATCATAGGCAACGCCGACATTATTGATAAGACAGGATATAGAGGAGAGGCTAGCCAGTTCTGATTGTAACCGATCGTAAAAATCATCCTAAAACATGACCAAAGGGCAAAATATTAGCATGAACACGAATCGGTGCTATGAATTTAAAAAAAAAAAACTCACCTTTGCACAGTCAGCGGGAAAAACCTTGGTTTTGACTTTGAAGTTGCTTTCGAGAGACTCGGCAACCGAGTTTAGCCTATCTTCAGGGAGGCTAATAAGGAGGATATTTAGCCCTTCTTTAGCCAGTAGTTCACAAAATGCCTTCCCGATGCCATCGGATGCTCCAGTCACCACAGCCCATTCCCCAGCCTTTTTCAAGTCGCCCTTCTTACTTAAGAAGAAACGAAGCACGAAATAAGCTAGAACCGGCCACAGTAAAAAGCATATAATGTAACCACAGAAAAGCGCTCCAACAACACTTAAGAGGAAACAAAGCATCGCAATAAAAAGCAGAGTAAAGGCAATTAACCTTAAAGACCGAGCTCTTTATATCAAATAAACGCCCTGACACCTAACTCATTGGTTTGGTGTTCAACAATTTTATTGGCTACTTAGATCATCTTACGCCAAGCAACTCCAACAAACAAACATAATAAAGGCATTACCAATCACAACCTGTTAGTTAAACCCTTCTAAAATGTCAAGTACAAGAATACCTCAGTTGTATGAGCCATAACTCCTACTATTTTGTTTACGATTTTCATTAGTTAACAAACATAAAAATTATTAGAAATACAAATTCATTTGAGACCTGATTTTTAAAATGCAAAAAAGTAAAGGCTAAACATTTTACCGCATACATAAATAATTAATGAAGTCTGATTGCTGCGTCTAAAGTTTGATCTTTTCGTTTATATGAATTTATCCTTTTTAAATTTTATTCAAACACAACAAGTTTCCTCGGTTATTTTTCATCGCCCATATCTGGTAATAGGGCTATATTATCCAAGTTTTTTGTAAAGGAAGAATGGTCATTAGTGCTCAAAAATAAAAATAAGTAATTAAACAAAATTAAAAACGAATTATAATAATTGTTACTGCAAATTCACAATCAGCTAAATTTTGAAGAAGGTGTTGATTTAACCTAAATACACTTAGCATGACTTAATCGTCACTTATCTTACAGATGCTTTATCAAGGAAGTTTTTAATTGCATGGACAGTTCCTGTGTTCCATTCTGCACACGAATTTTGACTGCACGATATGAGCTAAATTTATCCAAGCCAATTTCGCTTCGATTTGAACATCGGCAAGTAGAAGCATTGTAAATCAAAATTCCTCTCTTTCTAATTCGTAGGACAAGTTTTTTTTCCACCTGATCACCGGTTTGGGACATTTGTTCTCGTTGAATCTTTAAAAATACTAAATTGCTTTTTGGTGGTCAATGCCGGGGTTTAATTCGTCATGTAGATACTCTAACGAAAACTATTTCAATACGAGACATACATGATCTATGCTCTATTGCAAATTAAAATGTTAACGTGTTTAATTTTTTTTATCACATTTCGGTGGACTAAATTGGCTGTGATAATCAAAAGGTGTTCGAATTAGTTATAATTGTAAACTGAGTAATGGTCCTAAAGCAAGTAATTGCAGTTCAACAGTGCTTCCATTTTTTACTTTTAAGCTACTGTTCCACGTCGATAATTCACCTTATTTCGTGCAATTACTAAGTGTGAATATCACCAAAGGTGATTCTTGAGTGACTCGGCCTGACGTGTCCTGAACAAAGATATTGGCAGACATTTGTTTAATTCGAAGTAGTTGTGTCTATCCCAAACTAACCACCTAAAAGTGCAGATCCATCAGCATTGCACGTCTATTCCAAAATAAAATGTGATCAAGTCGAAGCAGTCCAAATCCGACCACCACAATATACAATATGATCATCTCAAAATTGCACACAGTAATCGGGAAATTCCAAGCCTATTCTATCATGGTACGACTTGTTTTAGCATAAATATAGTATGTGGCTTTATTTTCTTCCCAATTTGAGAAACCGAATTGCGGTTCTCATTTTTGGAGATTTTAGTGCCATCTACATTCATATCACGGATGCTGCAGTCAACCAGCAATGTGTATAATAAATCATTTCTGAATTCATTTTAATTGAAATAAAAACGAAAAGCACCTGCATCGACAAGCAATCCATGTCATGCAAGAACAAATGAAGGCAACTTGTGTTTTAAGATAACGAAAATGCGGAATAGACTGGACGATGGATACTGAATACATGGCGTCATTGGAAAAGGGAAATTATTCGAAACTTCGCTTGTAGATGCACATGTAATCACTTCCTCATTACAGCCTGTCGGAGCATGACAGAGAGTTCGCGTCACCTTATTTAATAAGACTGATTTCCATATTCTTGGGTGACACGATGGAAGATGCTGGTATCCTTGTAAAATGATTCTCGCCTTCATTGAATGGTTTCAGTTATCTGTACCCCATTAAGTGCATTACCAAGAATATTATACTGAATAAGTGTGATTGGTATCTATGGGGGGTCACTGAAGTGGTGGTGTCAATGCATCTTCCATTGTCAAGCTCATCGTGGACGAAGCATCTCACTGTGATGTTCACAAACACGAAGTTCTGATGACACAGAGCGTCAGATTGAAGTTCCAAAAAGAAGGATTGTCAGTATACTTGATCAGTTAGAAAAATAAACGACTTCTTATTTAGAGTCCTTGGTATTTAAATGGAAAAACTTTACTGGAATTAGAAGCTGTGTGTGATATTGTATTTAAGTGATTTAGTTATCACTGCCAGCAAATCATCTGTAGCAAGGAGAGGAAAGCTCACTTAAATAGCCCAAAACCCACGTTCGTGGGGCAGATTCGCGGACGTCTTCCACGTGAAGATGTTCCTGCCGAGAAAAGCCATGACAGTTCAGCACACAATCGTCGGAACAGCGGTTCACGCAGCGATTTTGCGTGTTGGACCTTTGGATGATTACATTTTGCAGCGCTCAAGTACGCTACCGAGATGCAGCGACATTTATTTGGCCCAAAGTAGAGTCAAGTTTAACTATGCGATGACCCAGAATGGCCAGCTGGGTACAAGGACCACTCGTCGATCAGAGGAAACTCATGTTGATCAGAATACACGTCTGAACTCTCAGTAAATCAAGTGGGGAGAGGAATGCAAAAAGGTAGCAAGATTAACATTTTGCCGAAAAACAGCGGAGTCCAACAGCATTTAACTCAAATGCATTTTGGATATCAAATCTGAATCGCGACTCTAGAATCAAGGATGAGGACTTGGTGTGTGTACGCTTTGATGAAACACCATTGTAATCGACAAAATTTCAATCTATCGAACACAGAAGACAGCAAGGGATTGAGGACTGTTTACAAGCGAACCGGTGATTTTCAGACAAATTGATTATTTCGACGATCCAGTCAAATGCCGCTTATGTCTGAGGGTATCTCAGGAGTCGTTGATTTTTATCGAGGCACTTAGTAACAGGTTACTCTCCTGGAATCCATGCCTACCGAAGACTAATTTAAAAAGGCGGAGGCCGTTATCGCGCGAATGACCAACTTCACTCAAGGCCCGTTCGAGTCACATGCTTTCCTGATATATTTCAGAGTTGTTTCCTTTAGCGCATAGGCCTTTATGTTGGCAGTAAAAAATTCAGCGACTCAAGTCTACACTAGATATAGGCTAAGTGCCACCAGGCAATCGAAAGCGCTGTCGTCATTTCATAGCAACGGCACCACTCAAAGCTTTCGTTCTACAAATTCAAGCTACCAGCAACCGATCTTATGCCATGGGTAGCAGCTGATATTCCGAATTGTGGATGGTGCTGGTCAGTGCAAGCCCATTGATCTAGAAGCTGTCCCATAAGCCTTGGAGCTCCTATTTTGAAGGATTGAGAGTGCCCACTCCTAATAGATTTGAGTAAATTTGGACTGAGTTTCCAGATACATTAAAAATCGCTTAAACGTCCATTGAACTAATTCACGTGATCTTGACCTCGTCAGCGTATGTATTAATGACATTTACAAAGACGACGACGAACAATTCTTCAGCCGTCTTGAATCCTGCGACGGTTTCAAGACGGCTTTATTGGGCTGATCGATGCAGGTAGCATCAAGCGCGTGAATCAGAAGATGCCAGAGACCACAAAGCACCAGACGCTACAGTTACCACAGATCTTGCGTTGGTTTCTTGGTTTGCTTAATTATCAAATGCTTTTAAAATGGCTTGGCGATACGGTTGTCACATCTGACCGATTTATTGCCAGAAAATCCGAAGGAATTAAGCGTCAGGGAGGAAACTGAGACGGAATTCGATGCAATCAATGAAACCAAAGAAGTGGGTGAAGTTAGTCACTTGGGCACCTGGAACTTTACTTAATTCCCCAAAACATCCAACCGGCTCAGACCCACTACACCAAAACCCAAACAAGAAAATATACAACCTACACAGTTGACGCAGTCTCTGCCTAATTTGTTGCTGTGTGTGGTCACCTGTCACACGAAAGAGCACAAAGCACCGCCATCATAAAGACTAATTGACAGAATCTACTCCTGTTGACAATCAATGCCACAAACTTTAGTACGTTGACATTTGCTTATCAGCCGTGACACACTTTCGGTACTTCTGTCTCACGGATGAGTGACTGTGCCCGCCATCGCTTAAATTCTCTTTGATCTAAGACGATGCGATTGCCAAAATAATCAAAGCTGCGAGGTAGCCCAATACTAAACTCCTATGCTGAGACTTACCCCAATCAAACCGACGCGGCAATTTAGAAGAAAAGTCACAACGTTAAATAGAACCCATTTCATTGGAATATGCTCAAAAGACACTAATTCCGAAGCAGCAAAGTGCTCAGTTATCCTTCTTAGGATGTTTGCGGAACCACCTCTCGCGAGAACGTGCCATGCGCTTTGACAGAGCAACGGACAGATAGCAGGAGGGTATCAATTGCATGAAACGAGAAAACATTTCGTGATTAAAGTAGCCACATCCCTCTGCCTCCACTCCGATCATGGACAGCGCCGAATTCGCGTAGGTCATTGCCGAAGGCACTGATGACGTAGGCTTAAGACCAGACATGTTAGTAGCAACGTATGAAGGTGTGAAGAGTTGGGTTCGGACACATGTGTCCTTTAGTTCACCAGCAAGAGCTTTTGTAAAGCTTTGAACATAGGCCTTCGAAGCGGAGTAAACGGTAAAATAGGGAACAGAAAAGGTACCAGAAAAGGAGCCAATGTTGATGATGTAACGATAGACACCAGGGGTGGGCAGTGGATCGTTAATCATTTTCGGGAGCACAAGGCGTGTGATTTTTGTAAGGGTCGTGGCATTGACTGTGATAATGTCTTGACAAAAACCGGGAGTGAGGAAGTCACTGGTGCAGAGGTCGTCTGGGTGTTTGTAGGCCAAACCCACATTGTTGAAAAGACAGGAAATTGACGACAGACTACAGAGCTCACTTTGCAACCGCTCATAAAAATCATCCTAAAACATCACAAACAAACGTTACAAGTTGACACTTGCGTACCTGGTGTCAATGTGAGTTCTAAAAAGGAAACTTACTTTCGTGCAGTCAGCAACAAAAACCTTCGTCTTGATTTTGTATTTGTTCTCAAGTGATTCAGCCACAGCTCTCAACTTATCTTCTGAGCGACTGATAAGGAAGACATTGAGACCTTCTTTGGCCAGCAGTTCACAAAACGCCTTTCCGATGCCATCGGTTGCTCCAGTCACAACAGCCCATTCTCCAGCTCTCTTCAAATCGCCCCTTCTACTCAAGCAGAATCGAAGCACGTAGTATGCTAGGACCGGCCACAATAAAAAGCACACAACGTAAGTGTAGAAAATGGCCCCAATAACGCTTAAGAGGCAGCTAATCATGTTGGTAAAATCCGAATACGTGAGACTAACTATATAGCGATAAGGTAGAATATGCTACGAACTCATTGGTCTGCTGTTCTACAATTTCATTGGCTGTTGAGATCACCTCGTTTTGGATTACATTCAATTAAAAATATAATCAGAGTTTTAGGCTGTGGCACCTTAGTTTAGCCACGCTTTTAACTAAGACATAAAATTAAGTGTCATTTTCCTGCTAAGTAATGTGTCCACTATTGTGGCTTGTTCTTTTGATGTCCTTCATTATAATGATTAGTTAGGCTATGAGCCTATCACGTGGTAGAATACCATTTAATGCGCGTAGGCTACTTACTCGAGATTTTATGTGTTATCACTTTGAAACGTGAAAGTGTTAATATTTCGTTATTTCTTTTCGTAGCCGAAGTTGTTTAAATTGTGGACATGTCGATTGTCTGTTGCATGTTTACTCCGAAAATAAGGCTGTGTTAGTAATTACGAATCCTTCACTGCATTGGGTTTTAACAATATATCTTTCCTTATTCATTTTACGTAGAATAAGCTGTAGCTTACATATTTAATAGTTAATTATGTAGTCGCTTACAATGTTCATCCTTTCAGTCGCTTCCTTTTCTCAATTCCCACTTTTTGGTGGTGTTTCATTTTTGCCTCGACTGAACATTTGTCAAATTTTTGATTTGACTGCTACCTTTTCTGATTTTTCATGTTGCCATTTTTAGTAAATTGTGTAAGTCATTATGAAAGGCCTACTATATTTACCCCCTGACCACATTTTTTGCAAAGCTGCACTTGTCTGAGCAGATCGTTGTGGATTTTTTATATTTTGTCAGCTTTTTTTGAATGTTAGATGTGGTCGTGTAGGACTAAACCTATTCTTCTGCTACACCATCCACAGATTACCTTTAATTCTATTCTGAGACGCTGATGTGTCCGCGATGTTGATATAATTGCAGAATCCGTAACTTGGAATATGGCAATGACCATAGACTTAGCACTTCAATAGGCGATGTGTTTTATCGATTTTTAAATCTAACTTAGTATTTTGCGTGTAATTTGTGTGTTTTCTAAATTAATGTTAAAATGGGAACGATGGTGACAGCCCTTGACGTAAACAACCGCCGAGATTAAGCGTCGGCAATTTGTGCCCCTCATATAAACGCAACTTTGTGCGCGCTAATAGAAATCCACGCATTATCCAAATGCTCACTTAATGCATTGTATACAAGTATTGCGCGTGGGAATGAACGCTCCTGAATTGAGTTCCACACATTGAAATTGCAAGCCCTTGTTTGATCCGATTCGGACAGGCAGATTTCATTAAATGTTTGCTTAATGGGTCTCCTTTTCATTCAGCGTTGCAACAAAAGTTTAAGTTAAATGTGGTTGTCTGAATTCGGTCGCTTTATCGTCGTTCACGATCCCTTCCAAACTGCTTTTTTCCTTCGGTTTACTTCTATAGTCTATCTCCTACTTCAATTCTTCTCAATTTGTCCAACCCCTGTAAATCCATGAAATCCACAAATCTGCAGTGTAATCTAGTCGTACTTGCAATCTACAATCTCACTGCCAGTTATATGTGCAGGTGTTATCTTAGACGACTGCGTTAGGTTTTATCTATTTCCTTAATTTTCTAAGTCGAAATCATGGATGGTGATATCTTGTGTCTTTCTTGTCTTGACCAACTGAATAACGTAATTTGAGTTCGCTGTGGCAAAACTACTAGCACATTACCTATCCTAAATAATTTGAGGGTTCAACACATTTTATCGATCCACCGATTTCTCTTCAATGTGTTAGCAGTGGCTTCGTGTTCAACGTTATACCCAGTCGAGCATGTTTGTGGTTAAGTGCTAGATTTTTGGCCAGTTTGGTAACACCAATCTGACAACTTCAAATGAGTAGTAACTGGTCTTCCACTCACAGGTAGCTCTGATGGCGCCACTCCATCGATCGCTGCTTTGGGTCGCGTGGGTGCGCCAGGGCTGTTCGCGACTAGTCTTTCCTCGGCGCGAATTCGCCTCCATCGTTGAAGGCCCTTCACCAGAGGGCGAAAATGCCCCAGATTCCACGGCGCTGGACATGCCAGACGTCGCCGAAACCCGATCCCCGCCTCCGAAGGGCCTAGCCGCCTTGCGGATCAACGAGGGTGGCAATATAAATCGAGCAAACCTTCTTGGAACGGTAGCTGAATTGAAGGTAGGCTTTCTGGGCCAAATATTTCGTCGGCCTTCTGGTTCGTCACTACGATGTGCTTCATTAAGCATTCTTCTCAGTTGTTAGATCGTCTCTCCAAGCCGGAGCAGCAGTGGGCGACAATGTTTGTGCGCACCCGGATCCCAATTCTGGCGAACTCGTACTCGTCAGATGCTGTTGACACAGAGGAGTCCAACAGTGTGGAGTACCGACTCTGCACGTACTACAACCGCGTGCACGTCTTCGATCGGAGACTGCTGCCGTTTGTGAAGCGTCTGCGACCCGGTGATCGGGTCTTCGTGACCGGCTTCCTCTCCTACTACAAGCCGACGCTGACGTCGAGTCCCCCAGAAGTGGCGAAGGTCCGCAAGATCGGAGCCGTGGTTGCTGAACGTCTCGTGTTGCTCGGCTCCTCCGGCGAGGTCTTCACCACTGGCGATGCACTTGATCATCCTGTCGAGTAGACATGGAGCAATCAACTTAGAGCATTTAAGAACCTCATTTGGCTTTTATTAAGATTCAGATTTTATAAATATCGTTTTTCATCCGCCAATTTTGACTTCTTACATCTCGTGGGTTTAATTAATTTAGTGGTCTTGGGCTACTTACTACTGGTAAGTAGCCTTGTTTTTTCACAAGCGCAGCTTTGTCCCTATCTCCGGCGCGGGCGCCCAAATATGATTCCAGGCAGAACTTATGATTCATTCTCAGAAGAAAATTGACGCCTAAGCTGCAGGAGGGTAGTTTCAAATTAAGGCTCAAGGCGTGCCGCTTAAACACCTACCGAGCTGATACAACAGTAAACCATTTCCATTAAGTTGTCGGTAGTGCATTGATACGAACTATTAAGTGGAACTAACCTACAACTAGTCGAGCGGATATCGGCGGCAGAGAAAATTTCTCAATGTAAACGTGATTCTATCCTAATTTCGCGCGAGAATTTGCGTAAATGTGGTATGGCCACAGTTCAAAGAAAAGTGTAGTGGATCTGAATGTAATGAATGCGCCTCCAGTTTTACCTGTATACGTTTAAAGCAAACTCGTTAGTTAATTCAAACAATCTTTTTCGACTTTTCTCCTTCTTCAGAGAAGAAAGCCTCTGATATTCTGGTATCAGTTCATGCCCTCTTAGTCGCTATACAGCTAGTTTGCTTCACATGTCACCTGTCAACCGTCCGAGTAAACACAGCCCATGAAAATGCCAGACAATCGAGCAGCCAATGAGCTTGCGTGTTTTCAAAGTTCGCCTGACCGACGAGCCGACTCTGCCCCTCGGCACAGCCAGTCTTTTTCCCAACAATTTGGAGTTACGTTCCCCAGTCTATTCACTTCCTTTGTGACCTTTTCGTATCCATGGGAATGTCCATTTGGTGTCAGTATAAAATAGTCCATCTGCATGCTGTTGAAAGGTAACTGTTCATTTTGCCGGTTTGAGGTTGCACAAAGCAATTTGCTGCCCTAAAAATCAACAAATAGACTGTTGTTGACACTATAGGCTCCTTATACGTGATTTATCTGTAAGTCCCTCCATAGAGCGCATATGTAATAATCCAGGAAATATTTTCGTTGCTGCCTGAAATTTTGAGGTTCGAATCACAAATCGGTTGGGCAACAATTATCATAATATCCAGATCGGAAACTGGTCTCTCCACGCATTTTCCCATTTCACGCCATTCATACAGGCAACGCGTACATGCGCCAATCCCTCTTAATCCACAATGTCAAGGTCACTCAAGGCATCTCTCAGCTGTACATTCTGAAATGTTATTCGTCCTTTGACAAAAGTGGTATAGCCCACTCCACGAGATCTTGCCTTTGTTCTTCGATGGAAAGGTGAAGCTCGCGTTAGACAAGGTTTTGTATACCGATACAATGAGCGTGTGATTTATGGTTGCAGACAAGTTGGCGGGCTTTTACATGAGTCTTCGAAAGTTGGTCCAATCTATGAGTAAGTGAGCACGAATCACGGTTTGATTACCTTAAAGTGACCTTGAACCACGATCGGTTGACGTATACTGGCCTCCCTTCAAGATTTTCGAGCAACCTAGTGCGGAACGAATGCATTTCGTCGTCTCAGCTAAATAACAATTACACTGCTCCGGAATGCGAATGCCTAGTGACCTTGGTAGCCAATGAAATGGACGGTGCACCCAGCGTGGAAATAGCCAATAATGTGGAGGCGCGGCCGATTTAAAATGCGGTTCAGATTAAAGTAATTTAAAAAAGGTTCTTGGAATAACGAACTTATTTAATTTATCGAAGGAAAAATGAAATAAAAGATTCCTGCAGGTGCATAGCTTTTGGCAGAAAATGTAGAAAACATGGTAAATAGCAATTCTATGGTTATTGTAACTGTACTGAAAACATCTACCAATAAGAATCCTCGCCTTTTCGTCCAATCGCTGATGGGCGAATAGCACCAAAAGTTGACCCATCTTCGACCACCTCCAGCTGGTCCATATCCATGCCCGATATTTACCTTCGGGTAATTCGTCAGGGCGTTTGCTGCGGTCAAAATGATTTAGTTAGCAGAGAATAATGAAGAAACGTAAGTTAATTCAATGAAGAAGCGAATGAAGGCGGAGGTGGATGAGGATTCATTGGTAACAGCGAATATTGGCAATCCATGTTCATTTCAGTTAGTCATAGTTGAGATGCAGTGTTGTAAGACTCGTCAACCTTATAGACAAACCGCGCATCGAATTGAAAGTGGAAATTAGTTACTCTGTTGCTGGTCAAAAGTGCACACGGAAAGCTCACTTTAGTAGCTGCACAGTCAGAAATAACAGTCAATCCGATTAATTTTAACAGAAATTTATTGGCAGATGCAAGTCCACACGATCAAGAAAGCGACTTGTAAGGTCGGAACGAGAAAGAGTACAGTGCGATCAGATTTGGTGAAGTTTTCATATCTATTCACCAGAATTGCTGCTCTTTCCGTTAACCGGAGTGACATGTTTGTTACATTTTTTCGCTACATTCATGGCACCCTCCGAAATGTCAACCGAATACGCTAGACAATGCTACTTCATTTTTGGCATTCGCAGTCTGTTGTAGGTCGACTGGACAGTAAGTCCACCATTGTGCAAATGTCAATAATTTTCCGGTTTACTTATACGTTGTGAGTATCTTGACCACATGGTGCGAGTCATATTTTAATTCGAACCATGCACTCTGAGCGCACATTCAACAACAGAAAATGAGTAGATCAAGAGGTGATGCAAAACAATCCCAGCACTTCATGACCGATTTAGACGCCCTTCTTTCATTACGCAACACCCATTCATATTCATCTGTTCTAAGTTTTGCGCAAACACACCGTTTTTTCATCTTGACCGCAAAAATCTTATTGGTTCATTGCCCTTTGAATGCGCTACTCGTCACCAATGTCAGGGCCGTCTAAGTGATATAACCAGGCCTTCTGACTAGCACGGTAGAAGCTCAAGCGACACGTTGAACCTGTAGTGGTCCACATGAGGGCCGACAATCTACGGCCCGACCGACAGGAGAGTAGAACTGCGGATGACGACTAGCTCAACCAATTTATTAAAGCAGTAGCGGAGTGTGTCTGTACAGGATAACGAGTGCGTTTATATTGCTTCGCTAAGCATCGGTCCCTGAACGAGCCGAGTTGCGTGAAGTGGGTTCACGTGAATCAATTGAATCATGTTCGCTCGCGCTTGCTAAATGCGTTCGCTCCCGATTGCTAACTGCGCTCGCCACAAACCTTTGCCGTCGCATGGTTGATAACCCGGAAGCGAGAGTCGAACTCAAACCGGAACAGTGGCGCAGGATTTTGGCTGCCGATGTGAAATGATCAACGAGCGACACCGCACACTACAAATCCTACGTTTAACCTTTCCTGGGCGAAACTTTCACCACCGACCTCATTCCTTTCGATTGTACAAACCTATGGCCTGCATTTCGGAATTGCTGGCGGAATAAAAGGCTCAATAATTCCTTTTGCCAAGAAGGAGAGCTGTAGTGATCAACTAGCGAAAATCGTTAGCAAGCTTGAGCGATCATGAATTTTAGTCGATTTACTTGAGTGAATTCACAAAAATAAGTGCATCCAAAGCGCGATATTAACCGATCTTACATAAACTGACGACCTACTACTTTGTAAAACCACGCCATCACCGCATCAAGTAAATATGCTAACTACGCATTACCGCCAGTCTCTGCTCTTTTCAGGTTGGACCTCGTCAGTGCAGGTTGCTTAGCACCGGTGCGGTTCGAGTACCGCACAGGGACATCCTCTGCGGATGCAACAGGTGTCATTTGCGACAACTTCATCTAACTAATATTGATAAAACTGTCCCGTGGAGTACAAATGCATCAATGAAATGTGAATACATGCCACCCAGAACACGCGCATCGCAATTTTGAATTCTTCTGTGCCAACACGGTGGAGATGATCGTGCGTTGATAGACACACATCTACCGTGACCTATACAATAACAAACGCTACGACAGAAACATCAGCCACCAAGACGAATCCACGCAAGAACACCCAATGATCTAAAGAACAATCGTACATTTGGTACATCAAAGTGAGCCGAACTCGGAAAGTAGCAGATGCGTCACCTCCAGCCCTTCAAGATATGACATTACAAGCAGTACGCAGCCTGGGTAATCAGACACCTGAAACTCCGTGGCCTTCAAAAACTAATGTCATGTATGTTTTGAATGCCACTTTTGCTTCTAAACACACACACACACATCCCCAGTCATCAGGCACCAAAATATTGCATGTAAAGCAAAAAACTCATTGTTTCAAGAGAAAATTATCATCTGAAATCTTCACTGCAACCCCAGACCCGGTTTTTGGGAGCAGGCTATGAGACTTTTTTCACAAAGCAGTTTGCGTGTCCCGTGTGTTAATTCAAGTCACAGGCGTGTTATCTGCGCTATAAAGTTTGGATTTGAGGGAGCACATTAGTCTATACTGTGAATAGCAATGCGTACCTTGGAGAAGTCTATCATCAATAAAGTGGCCCAAATGTGAAATACGGAGGATACTCGGTTGACGAAAATTCAAAAGACGTTTGGTACGAAGTGCCCACCGAACTAGCTAATAGAAACAGAGATCGGCCAGCTGCCCTCGGATTGGTCGGATATGGACGACGTAAGAACAAACCAGTGCAAATCCCTAAGACCTGCTAAATGCGTGTAAGTATGTATAAACGACCTCCTGTCACATCACGACACCCAGGAATGAAAGGAGAACCCAAGATTGTAAAATGGCTACAAACAGTGCACGTCAGTTAAGGTGTGAAATCCATGCCGAAAGGCCTGCGTGGATAGTCACCGATCAGGCATGCGCGCATGAAGGCCCGCGTGCCAGACACGCAGGATGGAATCAATCCAAATGATTAACACAAAGGGAGGAATTGATGGCAGTGAGAATGCGGTTGACCGACTCGATGGAATTTGAGTAGTATTTGAGAAGGAAGCAATTATGCAAAAATACAGGTTGGTGAGTGAGGCTGAGAGTTGTATTGAGCCCTGGAGGTGAGGTCAGGGCGGGAAAATATGAAATGACGTGCACACACGAACGTGGGGGAAGGGTAGGCAGGAGATGCAATGCATGATGCAAGACGACTGTCTTAGGCTCGAACCACAGCCAACTCCAGGGCGCTGACGGGCATTCTGAAGAACTTGACGAAGCGGATCGCGAAAATGAGTACGAGAAGGTAAAGAACTGAAAGGCAAAGAAACACGGATTGCGGAATACTTGTGAATGGCGTTTAGGTCTTATCATAACAGGAGAATGGTGGTTTTGTGTTGCTGCGTACCACAAGCACACTACTCGGGGCGATAACCCACACAACCCATGGTAGAAATGCACTGGATAAGCGATTTGAATAACAATTTTGACCAAACTACACGGAATTGCTCGCGTGTGTGTGAATGCGGAACCACGTGTGCACCAATGAGGGCGGCACGGGTGACAGCAAAAGTTCGCCACACGTGTGATCCTCAAAGCACGAGAACACACAACCACAAGTTTTACCAATGCCGACCAAGTAGGCGCACAACAATGCAGTTTTCAGCATTGTGAGCGACTGATAAACACAGAGTGGTTTGCCGTCTCATACCAACAAGTGTGCGTCAAGGTGAGTGGGCGAATTATGTTTACGGAAATGCGTCCACAAAACCACACAGCCATGAAAGGTCCACCAAGGGTGTCTTGCAAGAAAACCTAATGATCAGGACAACAAATGAGGCAAGAGGTTAACTCCGAAATACCGGGCTTAAAAACGATGGTTGGCTGGGTCTGCGCTGGACCCAGCAACGACGCTAACACGTTGTGTCACGCTGCGAGGCTGTCACACCCAAAAGCCACGCAGATTGGTCGTAGTGAGGCGACAAAACGCCTGCGCAGACCGGCACAAGACAAGCTTGGTTTATCAGAAACAGCGCGAAAAGCCGACAGAGCAATCCTACTACACCGAGTGCGCCGGCACTACGCTTCAAATGTAAGCGTTCGAGATTGTATCGTTCCTTGACGGGGAGTAGACTCTATCCTGCTAAAATTTGGTTTGTTTTGGTTGTTTGGCCATCTAGGCAGGCGCAACACACTTTTTGGTTGTGTGTCCACTATGCACAATGGTGGACACCGCATAGCCGACAAATTCTTACGTCACACTACATTAAAATCGAGTGGATACACAGAGAAACTGGCCTCAAAAATATACACCTCAGCCTTCGTCGCACGTACAAAGGCCAATGACAAACCTAAGTTGCAGGGCGATTTTCACGAAACGGTTGACTGTTGGTTGTCGTTATAGGGTGTGGAGTGGGGTAAACGAATACGCAAATTGAGATGAGGTTTTACAAACTATCAGGATTTCTGTGACCACGTTTGTTCTGATCGATCGATACCAAATACCTACGTACTAGCCGTTTCCTCATAAATCGTTGGTTGCATTCCAAAAAATAGCCTCTAAGTGAGCCTTTTTCAAGTCGAAGCAGCACTAATAAATCGACAATCCAGTCAGTTTAATCGTGACATGATCCGGGTTGTGTGGCCGGAACACAAATGCTAGACTGGGTCCGACAGTGAAGGAAGACGACTTCAGAAACGATGAAGAATGGTAAACCATTGACTTAGCGGTGTCATTCTACTATTACAAACAGAAGGTTTTTAGTAATATAAATATTTATACATCGAGTAAATGTAAATGAACACGTGGGCGACATAAACTAATAAACGTTTTAGTAACCAAGAGCTTAGCATCACTAATTTAACTTTCAGAAGTAATTAAAAATTGATGTTTGGTTTACAAACGTTCGAATTTTCTTTGTTCCTTCTCAATACCTAAAATACTCATTACAAAGGGGGCTTAATTCGAAGGAGTATAAAAGGTCTGCATTCAATAAACTGAGGCTAGTTTGCAGGACCTGAAAAAAATTAACAGCTCTGGGTAAACAAAACGAAAGTACACCCCACTTGTAAGGCTGGACAGCGACCACAAATAGTCGATGGGCGGCAGCAGGTGAATTCGACTTAGAGTGGGGAATTTTGGCTACAGCGAAGGGTTTGAAGAACCCGGCTAAATAGTTCTGCGCGATTCAGTAATAAATGAACTTGTTCAAATTAAAGTACCTTTGCTACTTGCACAAAGCCCATCTGGAAATTCCACAAAAAGCAGGAAGTTTTGGATAAATTAACCCAGTTGCATAGCGATAAAAGACACTATTGCTGAGCTACACTTATTTCAAGGCATTCAGCACTCGAGCGTACACCTAAGAAGAAACAATGTACCAAGACTATAGATCCAAATCTCCGTAGTAGTCATTGTACAGGAAAATGTTTCCCATGATTATGTAGCTGCTGAATGCGTTTTGCAGACGTCGATTTGCAGGATTTTGGGTAACATTTGCGGAAATATTTTGCATAAAAAGATGAGAAATGTACATTTTGCGAAAAATTAGAATAGAGAATCAGACCCAACGCGACTTTTGAATCCGCAGATTTTAAAATTGTATAGTGAGATCAGCTAGGATTTGGACAGTACCGGCTAACGTAACTCCAGAAAAAATCAACGGTTAGCAAGAAATCTACCAAGGATTTAATTTGATTAGTTCGTTGGAGCACAATAAGGTGAAAATATAATCGTAGACAATTTATCGCATAGAGCATCAATACACTATCGAGTTGCACAAAAAACTTACAAATCGGGGCGTTCAGACAAGGCGATAACGTGGTGAAAAAGAATTTTTACTTTAGCGAAGTTGTGCCTTTTTAAAATTACTTACTTGACCAAAGGAAGTATAATCCGTGCTGAGTTTTAGCAGTACTCACAGTCCCAGCAGTGACACCGATAGCAATGACGGCAAAAAGTACACACAGTAGCAAATATCCGACCCATCGAGTGCGAGCATAGGCCTGACCGACAGACGTCACTCGTCGACACTGCGGACACCGGGCAGCGATTAAAAGGCTGACATTAGAAGCAGATCCGTTCGAAAGGCAGCTAACAAGTCGATTGGTAAAGGCCGCGTCACAGGCGGTTGGTTGATATGGAGGTGGTGAGGGAATGGAGAAGGGACGATGGCAATTGCCGCAGGTGACACGAAGACCGCCACGTGAGGGGAATGTTCCCCCGGTGCCCAAGCCGCTGTCACTCTCAGTGTTCGTGTTATAATTGGTCACAGCAGGCTATAGAGGTAAGAAACCGTGGTAAAAAAGAGAGCTCTACTACATAAATCACCAAGTTCTACAAGGAAAACTTACATTGGAGAGAGTAATGACCCTTTGACATTGAGGCCTGGGGCACCCGACACGGGTTGTTGAAGCCTTACAAATCAAGAGACAATTGCACTGACAGCGCACATATTGCTTGCCAGGAGGTGGGCCTTTTATTGGCTAAAAAGAAGTTAACGAAATTTCGCAGAATTTTACTGTCGCTTCATTGCAAACATGGCATTTAACGACAAGTTGTTTCCCTTTGTTTCCGATAGGTACAACAGCGTTGCACACTTGGCAGTTGATAGTTGGCTCTACGTCAGAGCTGCGTGGTTCTGCGTGCTCGACTGCCGGTCGAGTAGGTTCTACTTTATTGATTTATTTAAAAAACGAGAGTTACCGTTGCCATCCTGCAAAAGTGAAGTACGCTCATCCATATGGACTAAATAATGGTTCAAAAGGGAAGACTAAAAAGGTGTCCCATTTAAACATAACAAAATCAAAAATTTCAAACAGTGGATATATGTGTGAGCTCAAGGCTTCCTTTTAAATTCCTATTACTAATTGTACTACAATTAAATGCATTTCATTATAATGTTCATGAGTATTCATGATGTTATTGAAAAATTGTTGCCATTTCAGCCATATTTAGCAAAATCGTGAACAAAATTGAGAGAAAATAAATACATCAACGTTTAACCACAAATCTCTTTCACATAAAAAACATAGATAGTGACTAATTTAAGTACCATCTGGTAAGAAAATGAAATAACTTTTGCAGTCATATACGATGAAAGTACTTTGGTTTGAAGGGAACCTATTTTATATGGCTTCCGATCTCAATTAGATTGTTTTTCAAATTTATTTATGTAGATCAATTGTTGATGTTAATAGCTAAATAAATAACGATATTTAAGTGTCTCTCATCCGTTACCATTGCTAAAGCATATAGCACGCGAATCTGACCTACACTTATGTTAATTGCAAAGGGTAATGAGTGAAGTACGAATTCGATATGATTTATTCTGAGTTCTAGTCAGTTAAAGGATTTGCAATCTAGCTTGTCAAATTTATGACGCATAATAAAGAATTTTTTGAAACTACATCTCATTTTGAAATGTTTGGTTCAAAGCTGCCAACACGGAAAAGTATATTTTTTCATTGTTTTCATTTTAGTAACTGTTTGACTAAAGGTTTAGTAAAATTACATATTGAGTGACATGGTGTTTGCAGGTCTCTCTTGATTATACGAATGCCAATGTTACGCAATCGAGTATTTTCGCATTTTTTGACATTTAGTAATGGAATTATTTACGATATTACTTACTGACATATTGAAAGAACAAAACGGTGTTTGAAAACTTTAGAGAATCATTTAGGAAGAAATGTAATAGCTCGTGTTTTAAATTACTTTGTGCATAATTTCTTTGCCATGTATTTTTTTAAAGTAACATCTAGTTGTTGGTTGGTTTCCCCATAGGTCCTGGTGTCTCCGGATTTATATTACTACAGGTAGTGGTTGACATTTCGTAATGTAATGTTAGGGTTCTATATGAAATATTTATAAATGAAATTATTTAACTGGGTATTCATAAGACGGAGGCGTCCTGTTATCGTGACCTCTTTGATCTCAATATCATTTGCATCTTCCGTTGCAATTCGTAAGGAGAGTCAATCCGATGCCTTTGCTCGCAAATTGTCAACTTCTTTAGTTCGATCTTTGCGGTAACAGTGTTTGTCATTTGATAAATTAGATCTTTTTGGATGGGGTTTCGTGTGACAATGCTTTATAAATGGCAATTACTTTGGTTACCGGAGGTACGAAATGTCTACTCATATTTGTTTGTTAGGACTCTGAAAGATATCTTTCTGTTCTACAAGAATGTCACCAAAGAGCTGCAGATCTCATGCTCTCAGTTTGCCTTCTGAATGGTGGCTTGTACATAAAAATGGGGCAGGGTCTAACGTCATTAAACCATGTTCTTCCTCGACAAATTACGACAACTCTTGAGGTTCTTCATGATAAGGCGATTGCTCGGTCAACTGATGAGGTTCAATAGTTTTGGATGGAATTATGAAGTCTTTAGGTCAAACGGATTTTTTTAAAGGATTTTGGTGCTCTTCCGGAAGAGTTGTTCCGTGAGTTTGATCCCGAACCATTTGCTGCTGCAAGTCTTGCCCAGGTTCACAAGGCTGTAACCAAAGAGGGCAAGCAAGTGGCAGTCAAAGTTCAATATGAAGACCTACGCGAACGCTTTCATTCTGATATCTCCACTTTGGAGTTGCTACTACGATTGGTAAAATTCGTTCACCCAAAATTTAACCTTGCTTGGATACTTAGGGACCTAAAAGTGAGTTGTCTTCCTTTTTTCCTAGTCTAAACATGCACGTCTTAGTTAGTCAACCTAATCACTTTAGGAAACTCTGGCACAAGAATTAGACTTTGAGCAGGAAGCAGCTAACGCAGAACGCTGCCGCAAAGACCTCGCAGTTATGGGTAGTCTCGAATGTGGCGGTCCTGTTCACATTCCTATCGTCGAGCATCACCTCTCGAGTAAGCGGGTTCTCACAACAGAATTCATTGATGGCATTAAAATCAACGATGTAGGTGTTTGTTCGCTAGATTCTTCATTATCTTAAAGGACTTGAAGTGGTGGTAGAAAATTCTTCTGATCCCTCATTTCTCCGTCCAGACTCAGAAGTTGCAGAATTCCGGATTCTCACTTGCGAGTATCGACAAGATCTTGGTGGAGGCTTTCGGTCGACAAATCTTCTGCACCGGTTTCGTGCACGCTGATCCGCATCCCGGCAACCTCTTTGTGCGACCTCGTCCTTTTCGCAGCTCGCACCCATCGCTGTTGTCTCTTTTTTTCCGCTTCCTCGTCGGTTCTTTCTGGGCGACTCCAGCTCAGCTTGTTATCCTTGATCACGGCCTTTACCAGAGCATGCCATCTGACCAACGACTCGCGCTTTGTAGCATGTATAAGGCCATCTTAAATAATGATGAGATTGGAATGCAGAAAGCTGCCAGGCGCCTCAACGTTACGGGCAAGTAAAATTTCTCCTTTTCCTAGGTTTTGCATCCTTGCATTTGGCCGGAAACACTCTTGGCCTTTTAATCCAATCGGTTACGCGATTGTCTGATCGATTTTGCAAGATATTTGTTCTCTAAGCTGTGCTCAAAATCCGAGGTAGCCTGCAGCTTGTGCTTTATCTTTACGATTAAATTTACCATTACGACCGACTGGTTTTATTTTCAAGCATTCGAAATCACCTGCCATTTACTCACCTGGAATTTTGTGACAGTTATTTGTCCAATTTTCAATTTATTCTGATCGTGAAAATGGAGCGGAAACCCTCATTGCCATATGTTTAGTCGTTCAGCTTATGCTTCGCGTATCTGTGTAGACTACGTGACGTTCGGCGAGGTAATTATACAGCGGCCCTGGCGACGGAAAGGCCTCTCTCTTCCGAGCAAGCTGACGGAGGCCGACAAGGCGCACATGCGAAAGCAGGCTGAGGTCTACTTCGATCGAATCCTGCTGGTTCTCCAGGAGATGCCCCGACCCCTGCTCCTCTTCATTCGGTAAGTTGCAAATCTGCATTGTTCGCGTTATTGACTGTACACACACCAGTGCTTTTCAGTTGGTGCTATAGGACTCAGACGCTTCCAATTACCGCCACATGCCCTCTGGTATTCCAAATCTATCTAAAGTACATACACCATGTGTTCTTGTCGAATGTGCCACGGCCAGCCAGGCCATCTTTCTAAAATTATCTCTGTCTTCGTGTCTTGTGGTTGTGATATTCCTGTGTGCACTTTAAATGACGTCTTTGTGAAATCCCTTTTAAATTCACCAGTTTGCTGCACAAGTTATGCCCGTTGAAACGGATATAATTTGAAATACAAAACGTCAATTACGAGCAGTTTTGTTTGCGAATGTAACCTTTGTTGTTTAGTGGACTCAGAACAAATGCTAATCAAAAGATCAAGGTCAGGAAGTCATAGTGCGAGCATTGCGGGGTCAAACATAATCGTCTTGTAAACGATGAAATTGGCCATCGTAGATGTTTGAAGTGCTTGTTGTCTGAAACCTTTTCCTTGTTGCTTATCACATTATGGTCGATCAGCATTTGTTCTGTGGACCACAGAATCGCTTGCATTGTCCTAGGTTGATAGCATAAAATGAGACTTGATTTGACCTAGATTTGAATTTTGTTCTTCAATGTAAACAATTTCCCAACAACGATATTTATAAACTTAGTGCTGAGAAAATCGTAACACTTTGAAAGCGTGTCAACCAAAAAAAACAAGGTGGAATGCAGGACCGTTAAATGTGAGATTCAGCTTTCAGTAAGGAATTTCCACAGTCAGCGTGCACTTTGGTCGCCTTCCAAGGGAAGCGTCGCATCTCGAACAAAGCACCACTAAATTCGTCCATGTTGTGCGGTTGTTGGCGACCTACAAACCACTCACTTGTTAGACCCTTTTGGATGTCCTTTCTCACCCCCACCCCACCCCCACAAATTGCGATTGCGGGGTCCTTTTCAATGTGGAATTTGTATCACTTGCCCTTCAGAAACCTCAACATGGTACGGTCCATTTGTCGTGGCCACGATGACCGCATAAACCGCCACGAGTACCTCATTCGCCTTGCCCTGATTGGTTCGCATGTGGTCGACGGCAATCACTACTCCCCGTCCCTCTGGGCAGACGTGGTGTCTTGGCTTCAGTGGAAACGGTACATCCTCCACATCAGGTGAGTCCTCAGCAGCGCACTTGTGCCCCTCTGCCCCCCCCCCAGAGTTGGTGTTGTAGCTCGCTGCTTCCATTTTAGGTGGGAGGGACTGAAGGACAAGGCGTTCTTCCTCCTAATTCGTCTGTTCTCCTGCCTCGGAATAGCGCCGGACCCCAAAGAGATCCTCTCTCTGGCCACAAAACCCGCTCGACAAATCCCTCTTTAATCACTTAAATATTAGCTCTAATCAATTACCTCAGGTCTCTGCATGCTTGAAGCGCCTCTGTTTATTAGTTACCAAGAATGTAAAAAAGTTACCATTTTATTGTTTTTTTTTCATATTCAGGGATAGGTGATTAGTTATGACTTCAGAATCCTTAGAACGGAACTATAATGAGACAGCAAAATTGCTGCACGATCTGACCAATGAGCAATCGAGTGAGTCATAAGAGTGCGTACGTTTCCATCTGGACCTGATTTCAATGCACACACCTTCGGTAGCCGTCTCCTCCCACCGAGTTATCCGTTTATTTTCTGCTAACCTCTCACCGTGAGGTTGTCAAAGGTACATCTCGTAGCTCACACAGACAATTATTGCTGTTTGACGTTGGTTCTCAAAATTGTTCCAGAATTCTACTGTTGTTAAAGTCACTGTAATGGCCCGCGAAACATTGATCCGAACGTTGGACAAGGTTTTGCGTGGCTGCTTTCAGATATCCAATTTCATGGGGCCTCAGGTTTTGGTCTGTCAGCCGGCTATTCAAGTAATACATTTGTTTATTTAAATAGAACTCGGTACTGAACTTGCAGGTTATTTGGGTGTAGGTGCGTTCATTTAGAAGTGGGTTCTGTTCACGCACGCGCATTGGTTTACCGGCAGGCGACCTTGTCGTCAAGTAAATTCTAACAAAATTATAAATTGCTTACGGTTTTCAAAGCGCGACCACTCGCACTACAATTGTTTTACTTGGGTTTAACAACTTTATGACTAATTTTACCTTTGTAGTCTTAGTGGAACTTAATCGATGGTGCTGCCGTTGTGTTCGCTGTAGCAGCAATTGGTTAGGCTTCCGAGACATCCGTTAGCAAGCATCGTTCGCGTTCGTTGCATCATTTAGGTCGTAATTGGCGTTTTTACACACACTGCTTTATGTCAACAAGCATGCGTAGACGGTTATAAATTGCCAGGTTTGGCAAACTACCAATAGTGTTACCCTCTTGATTAGCTGCCAGACACACGATTATTTGAATTTTACTAATACAAATTGAATTTTAGAGGCAACTGAAATGATGATCGAGATTTGTAGATCACTTTTCGTGCTGCTGAATAGCACCCCGCATGCGATACACCGCTCACGTTGATAATGGATTTTGGTTTTCACAGTCAAATTCGTAGTCCGCAGTGGATATCTAGCGATTGTTTTGAAGACCATATATTCGATAGAGGTTTCCCAAATTCAACTCATCTGACTCTGCGTCCTCCCTTGGGACACAGAGGAGCTTAAAACCAATGTTACTCGTCCCATTTTCGATGTATTTATTCAAGAAAAGCCAATGAAATGCAGTTATCAGCGCCGTGCGGACGTCGAATATCTCGGCCGCATCGCGGATTGTTCAGGGCATAGACCCAGTAAAAAGCAAAAGAGACTGTCGACCACGTTGGTCAAAAAGAGCGCCATTGTCGCGATAGCTGTGCTAACCCCAATCAGGTTCCAGTTCAGTCCTCCATTTTTTGTGTACAACTTCGGTGCTGCCATAAATTTCTAGAAAAATCCATGTTTAATACGCTTATCTTTCTGCATACACCAATCCATGGCATGTATTCGGTAATTCGCGTCGCATTGTCGTGAATTATCAGCAGACTGCAGACACTAAGAGTTAAAGCTACGAGATTAACGACACCACTCGCAGTCATTTAAGTTGTTAGCACGTGTGAAAAATAATCAATATTATCGCGTGATATTCGTTAAACGCTATCTGTGTTTTCAATGGTTTGCTTAAGTAACCAATTTAGCCCCATTCTTTCGTCGATTGTCACTATGTGAGGAAATTAAGAGAAACTCTGGAGGCCAAGTTAAACGAGCTGTCCTTTCGATAACGTGACAGTTCGCTTCATAGTAAGCTACGCCACATAGCGCCAACTAACTACACGAGGACAATAATCGATAATATTGCGTGCTATTAGTTTGACTCCACTCGATTTTCATTGGTCAATTCCGACCTCCAAGTTCGAATACCCCAGTAAAACAATTTTCTGGGGTTCGCTAAAGCATCACGTGGCTCCCTTGGTCACGTGACCTCACAAATGCAATGAACCCAGGATACGTTAACATCATCGCCCTCCTTTGTAGCATTGTTAGCCTCCTTATAACGCGCCAGAGCTTTGGAAAACTCTTAGGAGCCATTAAAGAGGAAAATGAAAAGGAAGAGGTAGGCACCTCTCTTGGGTTTTGCTAAAATATTGGAAAATGTTAGAAGTTTATACAGGTGGTTCCCGTCCAACCTCCGCGGTTTAGTTGGCAGCAACTATGGACTAATTGTCTTATGGCCTTAGCGAGCCTATTCCTCACGAGGCTCTTCGATAATTTGATTCAAAGACTCCTTCCATGCACACAGGAACCTCTTTCCTGCTTTATTTCTCCGTCCCGATAACGCAATCGGCTCAACTTTGCCTTGAATCAAGCCATTTTCAGGCGACTCTGAAAACTACTTGTGCTTGGGGTGTTTGGTTTTCCATGAAAGTTGGCCCCGAAGGTTTGAGAAACGGAGGCTCTTTTTTTCATGGACTTCATCTGATTTGGATCTATTTCTGGCTCTTGAGTACTGTGAATTCAACCCAATGTCCAACCTTATCGTATTTGGAGGCACTCCATTACAGGTTACAACACTCCTCATTTCTCAACCATATTCATCAATAAAATTACAAGGTTCGTGCAACGTCGTTGTTGAAACACTTTTTACGCGAGAGGGATTGCCATTTTGGCGAAGGTTATGCATTGAGTCACTACATAACCTCTAAAGTAACGGGTTTTTTTCAGTGATACTGTGATGGAACTGACGGAATATGTTTAGAAGGAAATCAAAAGAAAAGCTACTAAAACCATAGGTGGCACTTGAAGGCTTATATTTACGAATTTAATTTGGATTTTGACAAGCAATTATTCATTCGGATTAAACTTGAATCCTTCCCTCAGTTTAATCGTCTACTAACTTCGTAAACGCTACAAGACTCCAGCGTTTCTAGATCACGAGAACAATCTGATAAGACAAAATTAATGAACGATTGTCGAACCCACATTTGAGTGTAATTGGCTCAATCGTGATTGATATGGGGGTGTTCTGATTGCCTGTTAATAAAACATTAGTTGAAATTTCTGATAATCACCATCACTACTCCCACAGCTGAGGATCGAGTTTCGTGAACTGTTGAATTCGAACAAATACATTATAATAGTATAACAGCCAAGAACATGTTTATGTTAAATGTTCGTGGCAGGTACTGCACTACTTCAGTGCTTCGTGTGCATCAGCAGTTATTTTAAAAATGGAGATAATCGGCTCCCCAGTAATATGAAAACCAATAGTATTTCCGTGATGTTTACTGAAATAGAAAATAGTTGGAAGTGCTTACACCAATTTGACCAAACTCAAAAGGCTTCTTATCTTTCACCCTTCCAGTTATCTCGAACACTCTAAGTAGCTATTGTAGTATAATTTTGTACTCGACTTCGCCGCGATCCACTCAATGAATTCTAGAAAGGTGGCGTTAGTTGAGAGTCATTGGTCGTTTATTAGCATAACTCTCATTATTCCGTGTCGCCACATCCACTGTTTGAAAATCCCCTAAATTTCACCATATGAAACTAGTTAAATAATATCTACAATTAATTTTTGAAAGTTTTCGAAACGATAAATCTTATATTAGTGACTTGTCCTGCGGTACTGAAGTCCCAACCGATTACTGCGCCTCTGTGCCCACTTTAAAAACTTATTTCAGTGACAATGTTTGAGAA